TGAATAAACAGAAGATTTAAATGCTTTCATTGATTCAACGTGACTAATAAACAAACAACTATGGCAATATGTGGTTTATCGGAGTTTTTCTTATTTTAATTTTCATTATAATAAAGTATATCTATAATGCAATGCTAATCAACATAGACTTCATCACTGCTTCGAATACTATGAAATATGTTGCATGCCTTATTCTGTGTAAGAAGCCACATCATCTCACAGAAAGATTTATTTCAAACACTCGGCTGACGTTATGAAGTGAGTTGAGTAAAAACGTTTTATTAAATGTGGTATTTTCACGTGCTTTCAGGTGGAGCAGCATTTACTACATAGAGCCGTAGTTCACTGAGAAGCTACGCAAACAGCCGTCATTATCGTGAACGATTTCTTCTATTTCATAATCGTACGATTATATAGCCTGCGAGTTTTTTTTGTAGCTTGCCAGAGAATTACGGCTCTATGTAGTAAATGATGCTCCATCTGAAAGCAGGTGATGAAGATTAACTACGAATCACAGAACTGGCTTTACTGACAAGATGTGCATGACAATCACATTTGATTAATCGTGCAGCCCTACAAGTGAGTCCAAATTAAAGACAGAAAGAGCGAGGGAGAGAGAGAAAGAATATCTGGGCTATGATACATTTCATTCACAGTGCTTTCACAGACTGTTACCATAGACAAAAACACCATAAATCTAAATTCCAGCAGCTGCTCAATTGAATGAAAAAGTAGCATCACTGAGAAGAGCCAGACAACTCAGACGGCCAAGGTTACAGTCAAGTTCAAATGCCAGCTGAGGAGTCAGGTCTGGTAACACTCCAACTCACAGTACGCAGCTCGACACAGAGTTATCACCTACACGATCACCTGCAGCTAGCAAAACCATGCTTCTTTTCTGAGGCACAACAGTACGGCCAGGGGCGGTTCTGGGGGTGGGGCAAAGGGGGGGGCTAGTGCCCCCCTGCCAACAAGCTTGGCCCCCCCTTTGGCCCCCCCTAAATTTGGAATCATATCACACCAAACAATTTTGGGTGAAATGCGCAGTTTGTCCTGTAAACTATGCATATAAAAAATAAAATAAAAATTCAAATCTGCGTTCGCTGGCTGGCACAGAGCCAGAGACACACACATTTTTAAAGCACTGCACATTATAACCAATCCCATACTATTATGTTGAGTTTATGAATACAAAGACCAATCGGAGGCGTTCAGATGAGTCACCGCTGATCTGAAAGATGCTGTTCCGTCACTGCGCGTGCTGCCTGACTGCAATCTCTGGCTAATTATCTCATCAGAAACAACAAAGTGAAGATGTACGAATGTAAGTAATATATTAATTTTACAGTGTAAACCGCTTTAGAGATTATTATGGGAGTTTGAGAGTGCTTGAATTCGCATGCACATATTTGAGAATAGAGATATTTCATGATATATTTTGGGAATATTAAAAAAATTAAAAATAAAACCCCTGCTGAATAAAACATTAGACACCATTAGAAAATTTGTAATGGTTTTACTGGATGAGCTAAATTCGCTACAAATGGTTAAAAATTTATGGTTTGTAATGTTTGTTTTCATGAAAATTTTCTGTGATGGTTTTATTTTTATTTATTTTTTTCAGTAGATCTCTGTTTGTGGCTGCTGTGTGTCATATGACAAGCATGAGAGCCCCCCCCCTCTTATTCGTGCCACCTCAAAAATGATGCCTCTGACACTACAATACAAAATTATTTGTCAAATAAGTTAAACATGATGAAACATTCATTTTAGTTGAAATTGTTATAGATTACATCTAGATTGCAGCGATACATGACATGGTGAAAAATGACTGAATGAATAATAGGCTACTTAAAGTAGTTTAAGATGAATTTTAAAATTGTGCCCCCTAAAAGCACAAGTGGCCCCTGTCTGCCCCCCAGTTACTGTGGTCTAGAACCGCCCCTGATTACGGCTACAAGCTTTCACAAACATCCTACTTAATATATTATGTAAAAATATTACCAGTGGTTTCTGCAATCATTGCATTTCAAATAAGCTACTTCCCCTGTGATTAACCTCAGCACAGACGACTCTCAGACACAGGGAGGAAATAAAAGTGTAAAACTAGCAGGAAGTTTGTCGAAAGTGAACAACAGAAAACATCACACCGATGTTGCACAATATAATACATTTAAAGACGTCACAGTTAAGACCCAGGCAAGCAATTTACTTCTACTTCTCGTCAATATTAATGCATCATGCATACCGAAAAAGAACCATTAGGGGTGTAACGATACACGTATTCGTTCTGAACCGTTTGGTCCGAGGCTTTCGGTTCGGTACAAACCGAACGATTCGTTGGACTAATCCTATTACATTTGGAAAATAAAAGAGCTTACAGTGTGTGAAATATAATGTTCTCAGCCAAACGACGTAACAGGCAACGTGATATTTTGCCTCTCCCATTCCCAAACAAAAACACACTACTCCAGTAGGGTTGTGACGGTGAGGCAGTACGTTTGGAGTTTTCCCTTTTTTCATCGCTTTTAAATAGCTTAATGCCTGTGTGCATTTTACTTTCATGTTCGAATTAGCGGCAATTCGGCATCAATTGATTGAATTGACAACAACAAAACCGTGATACCACTGTATCGTATCGAACCAAACCGTAACTTTTGTAAACCGTTACACCCCTAATAACCATGCAAATCAAATCAGTCCACTGGATTATTATTATTATTTTTTTTATTAGTTAAATCTCTCAGCTGCAATTCGCTGATGAAGATGATCACACAGAAATATGTGAGGGTTTATTAAAGCTCAGTTAGTAAGCATATTATGAGTCGAAGACAACAAATCCACCACACAGTCATGGAGACAATTTTTAAATACAAACTAAATAAAAGCAATGCAACTAATATAAATTAGTTTAAACACCAGTGGAGAACTGGAAATCACATTAATTAAAATAAATTATCACAATATATAATATAGATATTTATTTTTAATGATTAAATTTAGTGGTCATTCAATTATTAGTGACTTTAAAGATTTAAATGAAGTTTTTCAGTGAGCGGCAAATGTAATCTAAATATAAAAATAAAGAAAATGAGCTATTAGGAAATTATCAACCAAATTACAAAATCTCTTCCAATAACCAATACGATACAGTGCATCCCAAATTTTTTCATGTTGTAATGATAACAATATACTACTGAATCATGTAATCAGCTTTGAAAGCTTGACAAATCACGAGTAGACTAATCCAATTAAACTTAGAAAACCCTGGACAACTAAAACAACTAAAAGTGCATCCTGTTTTTGCTGCTACACATGCACTGTATTGAACAGACAAACGACCTCTGTGGATTAACAAGTGATTTTACACATGCCTTGTTGCCAGCTGGATGAGGCAGCGGAGGCCTTTTGGACGACACACAATGTATTTACACACTGCCAAAATGCTGCACATTCACTACAACCATTTGTGCTCCCTTTCGCATGCTCTGCCACCGTACTTGGCATGGCATGAGATGCCTATCAAAGGCAGACCAATCAATTAGCTACTCAGCACGGATGGGCTTGAAAACGAACGCAGCACATGTGCAGTGAAATGCACGCTAATTTAGGCCTGAAATATTGTTCTGTTCAGATGCAGACTGATCAATCTAAGGACAAAAAGGCTTAGGCCAACAGTCTATAATCAGAGAAAAACTGAAAGGAATTTCATGCATTCTTGCAAGGGTAATATTCCTGTAGGAGGAAGTACTTGTTCACAAAAACTACGCCATAATCAATCTCCAGGTGCTTCTGTGCTTTTCTAACCACAATAAAAATTCTGTCAGGATGGGAGACTGGTCAAACTACCCTGAAATAAGATCCTTGTCATTTCAAAAGATATCATGCAAAGCCATACCCAGAGGCTCAAACAGCATGCAGAGCACCGCAGCTGTCGCCATCCGTCTGGCAGCAGGCAGCATTTCACAATTGATCTGGGAAAACAACAATAAATCTAGAAACCCTCCGGCTGTCCAGAGAAGCACAAAAACTGAAGCACTGAAGAAACTGGAAGAGAAGTATCTCAACAATTTAGAGATACACTTTTAAACCATGGGGGTGTCCTCCTAACTGACACTCCATCCGTCCCTGTACAGGATCCAATGAGTGGGATTTAAGTTTCCCAGTCTACTGAGTGTCAGTAAAGGCACAGCTGTTGCTGTGGCTTGAGGTTGACAATAACAACCTGGATATTCTCTTTGCCAGCTTAGCACTTTGAAAGAACCTTTATCCCGAGAAATGCAACTGGATAGACCTACATCTAGTGGATGGCTGGAATGCTAGCATGTAGGACATTTAAATGTCCAACAACAGAAGAAAATAAAAACTATGCAAAAATCTGCACAAAGCAGTCGACTAAAGTGAAATAATCATCCATTTAGCAAACTCACATAGTTCAAAGTAAACTAAAGCAACGTTAATTGCTAGTTACTGATCATTTAAGTCAACTGCACTTGGATTAAACGGTGTCAGCAGTCTATATCCTTGACAAAACACACATGAATTCTTCATTACTTTGAGACCATAATTCCATTTAAAAGCCTTTGAGATGTAAAATCAGATACAAACGTGCTTCTGAATAAACAGAGCAGATAAACCATTGGCAGTTAAACACCGTTGCTCACACGAGACTGCCAACTGACAACTCAATTTAACCGCCAGCGGGTGGGCTTCACTGTAAAATACCAGCAAGCTCATAAACCACACAGATTAAAAAGTACACAAACTTAGTATAGATACATAATAAATCTGTGACGTCTATAACGTCCTTTAAAACATTTTCACTGTATCCGTTGTCACAGAAACAGACACCGAATAAATCACGGAGGACTACTAACGCATTTCTCTCCGATAAAAATTGTTCTAAGGTTTAAATGATAAATATTCTTGTTTCCCTAAAATCGAAACAACATACCTGAATTAGTAAAACAACGTTTTGCTCAAACAAGACTAAGACTTACTTTTCTACAGTGAACTGGAGTTACACTTCCTGCGGCTCTGGGAATATGAGACGTTTGACAGAGAGCTGGAACGCGAGCGCTTACTATTGTGAATACAAGCTTGTGAACGAATTAAAGCTTTTCCCACTATTTTAAAAAAATCCAGACGCCGTTATATAGTCATGTTATGCTTACCAATAATTTCCACAAATACAGTTTTTTCAGGGATTTCACTTCTGTAAACTCTACCGACTCTACCCCCGGAGAGCTCCACCTTCACTTTCCTACTTCAGTTGCAGTCAGTCAGCCGAGTGTACTGGATATTACAGCCACAGAGCCAGCCGCGTGAACACAGCGACAGGCGCTCCTATTCAAAATGGCCAACTCAGAGGCACGTCTTCATAATAAAAGTCCTGTTTCAATAGCGTTTATGCACAGGCAGGATTTTTATACTTTAAAAAAACCTTCTGTTTACCAGAACAGAGAATGGTTACTCGAGACAAAACTGTTTTGATATAATAGTAGAAAAATAAATAAATGATGGTCCTTTTTTTCTGGTCAGTTAATGAACGAGAGTGTAATTGTGTATGCACACATTGCTGTGTAAGGCCTTATCTAATTAAAAGTGTAGGCCGATACGAGTTGAAAAGAAAGTTTTTATGCGAATGACCATTAAGTAAATATATATATATATATATATATATATATATTGCAACCATATGAGTACAGTTTGATCAGTTTCATATATTTTAATATGAGTTAAATATTCTATAATTATTTAACATATTCGTTGTTTTTATTTTCCTTGGTAAAGACAGCAATTAGTTTAAAACGCATACACAGGTTATATATGAGAATACAGAGAAAGCAAGATGGTAAACAATAAAAATACATTTCAACCATTGGCTCATTCACACATTCTATGCAGACAGGGACATCTAGTGGACAATAACACATTTGAGGGACTCGAGGAAGAAAAAATAATCATATAAAAACAATGGATGTATTGTGCTTATGACATAATTTTTAATTAAAGACATGATAATACATGAACTTTGTATGAATCACTTCATGTCGTTCATGTAGCTATCACAACATTATCCAGTAGATGGCCTTATGTGCCAAGCTTCTTTTGATTCTTCACATGTTCTCCTTCATGGATGTCCTTCGAAAAGAGACACAGCTGGAACAGAATAATGTTTATTACATCAATTTGTGTTACACTGTATCATGTTATTAATAATTCATTATAAAGATTAAATATTTTCTGGCACATATTCACAGAGTATTTTATATTCTTGGTCAGGTTAGTTTAATATAAAAGCACAATATCCTATTTAAGATTGATATTGAAAGTACATATGGGCTTACTTGGTGTGCTTCTATGGGATCTCTGTGATGCACGGAGCCCCTCCTTACTCAGTCTGGACACTGGAGGCCTTACAGGACCAGGACGTATCCCTGCATTCCATTGGGAGGTCTGGGAAAGTCTTTTTATGGAATCCTTGTTAGCCGGAAGTGATTCTAGGTTCTGAGCTTCCCATTGTGGCCTGTTTTGGTTTTGCTTTCCAGCTGCACTGAGATCCAAGGATAAAAAATGTACAAATAAAAGCCTTGATTTTGCTTATATTTCTAACAAAAAAGTATACATGTTCAGTATAATGTCTGTTTTCTTCCCTCAGCAACACAGTGCCCTCTTTTTCCTCTGTGCAGCACATTTCCATGATATCCCACATGTAGTCTGATCAGTATGCATGATGCCTCTTGGTTATGTCGTCTCTGGAGAATTCTTTGCATGCTGCTGCTGCTGATTTGTATGAGAATCAACAGTACAGTCACATGACAATTATATTAGCTTACCAAGGATTTGGTCTTGTATGTTGAGCGAGATGGTGCTTTCATAGTGTTTTCCTGTCTTATTGTAGCACTTTGTCCCTTTATCAGTCTGTAGAGATAAAGACAGCTTAGCATTTTCTGCTGTAGTTGTGCTACTAACACTTTCAACATGCACATATGCAGAATAAAATGCACTAAAATAGTGCAGCATATCAGTGGGTCACATAAGTTTTCGTGATATTTTATAATAACTCAGAACTCAAATATAACTGTGTACATAAGTTTACAATTTTTTTTGGAAAGTTATGTTATGTCTTTTATGCTCACCAAGGCTGCATTTATTTCAAAACAGTATACAATATTCTGCAATATTATTACAATTTATAATAACTATTTTCTATTTTAATATATATTTAAATGTAATTTATTCCTGCAATGCACGGCTGAATTTCTAAGTAGCCATTACGCCAGTTGTCAGAGTCACATGATCATTCAGAATCATTCTAATATGCTGATTTGGTGCTTAAGAAGAATTGCTTATTGTTATTATTGTTGAAACTGTTAAACTGTGCTACTTAATATTTTTATGGAAATCGTGATATTTTTTCCAGATTCTTTGATGAATGGAAAGTTTAAAAGAACAACATTAATTTGAAATGTAATATTTTTGTAACAATGTAAAAGTCTTTACTGTCACTTTTGATCAGTTTGATGCATCTTTGCTGAATAAAAGTTTTAAAAAATTTCTTAAAAAAAAAAATCTTACTGACCCCAAACTTCTGAACGGTAGTGTATCTATGTGTGTGCAAAACAAAATAAGTTGTTCACTTACGCTTGTGCTTATTAACATTAATTTGAAATGTAATATTTTTGTAACAATGTAAAAGTCTTTACTGTCACTTTTGATCAGTTTGATGCATCTTTGCTGAATAAAAGTTTTAAAAAATTTCTTAAAAAAAAAAATCTTACTGACCCCAAACTTCTGAACGGTAGTGTATCTATGTGTGTGCAAAACAAAATAAGTTGTTCACTTACGCTTGTCTTGCATGCTCAACTGAGTCAAGGTTAATCAAGTAGTTAAAGCGTATTGTGTCAGTGGGATGCCTGTCTGAGTCTTTCCACGGCGGAAGACCTTTGGCTGATTTCACGAAGCCATTCCCATCTTTACTCTTCCTATGGAGACTGGAGAGGACAGACTCCAACTCCCTGTGACCGGTCACAGGAAGTGACCCCTCTATCTCACTACCAATTACTTTCACCTCAGGGATAATAAACTCTTCCTTCACAGGCACCTGGAGAGAGTGGAAAATATGCACCACAAAAAGATAAAATTTATTCCAATCCAATAGATGAGACTCTAAATCAGCCGTTCAGCAACATCTTACCTTGGGCCTGCTAATGTGCAGCTCCTGCACAGTCTCTATGTAATGCCTCTTCCATACACCTTGTTCAAATTGTGTTAAAGTAAAGGTTATGCACCAGCCTAGTTTCAGACATTTAGGCATCCACAGCTGGTCAAGCTCAACCAGGTTTTTCCAGTGCCAGCTCACCTGCAAATGAATATATTACAAAAAACACTAATGTCACACATAGTACTGTTCAAAAGTTTAGGGTCAGTAAGATTTTTACCATATAACTTAATACTTTTATTCAGCACAGATGCACTAAACTGATCAAAAGTGACAGTAAAGACATGTACAATGTTATCAGTGTTAGTGTATTTGCACACAGTATGTATAGAATACATTTAAGTGTGCATGTAGAAAAGTGTTTTTTATTCATGGCATCAAAATATTCATACTGTGCAATGTCAATAATGATATTATTGTTTAATTTATTTGGTAAACTTAACAATGGCACATACCTGAGCACATCTACAGAGGCTTCGGGGGTCAAGGAATGAAAATATATATAGTGATATGACCCTGGGAAGGACCCTAGTGAAGTCGAGGGCTTCCTCTGATACCCAGCTGCTCAGAGTCTGTCTGAGATGTTTCAGCTGGCAAGCAGAGCATCTGGAGAACCAGTCTTGTAGCACCTGTTTCCGCTGACTATCTGTCCACTTTTCAAACTGGGGCAAAGAGGAAGAGGGCTTGAGCATATAATCAACAAAGCAAAGAACAAAACCAAGAAACTGTGAAGTGTTACCATAGCATTTTTTAAAGCACGTGCATTTCTTACCCACTTTCCAAGCAAATTTCTTCTCTCTTCAAAAACCTGCAAAAGTGTTCACATTTCACATGAAACATTCTACACTAATATCACTAATATCAATGTTACCGTAGCTTCGCATGTTAAACAAAGCAGAAGATCATATACTATATTCTTGGTGCCTGTACATGAGCATTGGAGAGCTGATGATTTAGAGGTGTCCAGGTACTCAGTTTGGTCTGTAGTTTTGTTCTGGGAGCTTGTGGCATCTTTCACTGAAATTCAGACGTTTGAGATTCAGCTCCTAGATAAACCTCAATCATATTAGGCACCGCAATATTAAGAGCACTTATTAAAAATACATACCAATGTTAAGGCAAACAAATGTGCTGTGATTTTTATACTAGCAACAACAAAATGGCCTAGCTGTACAGTGCAATACAGTACAAAAGAGAAAAAAAATCAAACCTACCATGTGTAGTAATGTTGTCAACCGGAAATAGCCATGTTAGCTATCATAACGAAACCATTAAATGTTTACTGATCCGATATTGATGGTTTTGCTCTTCTTGCTCAGTACAGTTTACCAGTCTCCATAGCAATCACACTCTCTCTCACTCTGTCCCGCCTCTTTCCATACGCTTGCTATGTTCGATTCGCAAATGGTTCGTTCTTTTGAATCGGATCTTTTATCGTTCAATCGGTTGGAAATGAAATTGTGCACAAAACCGATTCTCTAGGATTTGACAGAAGGGACGAAAGTAAATTAATTTATTAACCGAATAGCAGAAATGTTATAAATAAAATAAAAAATAAATATTTATTTTTTATTTTATTTATAACATTTCTGCTATTCGGTTAATAAATTAATTTACTTTCGTCCCTTCAGTCAATCTGTATAAATATTGTAGTTTATAGTTTTACTTTCATTTGGTTGTTTTAAAGTTGTATCAACATGATAATTACTAGGTGGCTTTATTAAACAGATTTGTATTAATATGGGCAAACACTTTTCATTTGGGAGATGTAAATTAATTTTAGTATTGTTCAATGTAAACGCTAATTATATTTAGGAACTAAATGTATTCATGTTTTACTAGCAGAACTGTGGCGGCACCAAACTGGTTTGGGGCACGAACACCGTTAGAAAGAAAATGTATCAAACGACCACGCGATGACGTAATTACGTCCTCATGTAAACGAATCAATGACTCGTTTCGAACCGATTCTTCGAAATAAAATGCCCAAAAGAACCGAGTCGCAAAAATCAGTCGGACTTCCCACCACTAAACACACCAGGCGACCACAAATCAACTTCATTTCATTATAGTGCCGAGACGCTCCTCGCTCCCAGCTCCCATTGCAGCGATAATATCCGTGGATGAACCGAAGCCGTTAATATGTTTGCATACTGAATGTGTTTTTTTTCACGCTCAATCCAGTGAGGTAAGTTCTATTATGCTTTTATATTGAGAGAGAGCAATATTCGTCGGCGCGTCATGGTCAAATCCTCCAAACCTGCAGAAAGACACACAGACACACAGGGCTCGTGTTGTTAGAGAAGCGGAGTGGAGCCCCACACGCTGGAGAGGTAAGAAGGACTTTTTATCATTACCAAAATTCATTTAGTATAGAAGCATGTTTTAGTAAAAGCAAGAACAATACTCCTAAAAGTACAGCAGACACCTAACGTTATATTGAAGGTAGTTTCTTTACAGCGAAGCTGCTTACACGCCTCGATAGACGGGCTCATATGGTAATAAAGGAAAGGGTTATCTGTTGTTCGCATTTATTCACGCTCAATCCAGTGAGGTAAGTTCTATTATGCTTTTATATTGAGAGAGAGAGCAATATTCGTCGGCGCGTCATGGTCAAATCCTCCAAACCTGCAGAAAGACACACAGACACACAGGGCTCGTGTTGTTAGAGAAGCGGAGTGGAGCCCCACACGCTGGAGAGGTAAGAAGGACTTTTTATCATTACCAAAATTCATTTAGTATAGAAGCATGTTTTAGTAAAAGCAAGAACAATACTCCTAAAAGTACAGCAGACACCTAACGTTATATTGAAGGTAGTTTCTTTACAGCGAAGCTGCTTACACGCCTCGATAGACGGGCTCATATGGTAATAAAGGAAAGGGTTATCTGTTGTTCGCATTTATTTTGATAAAAACGCGACAGTTTTTACATTTAACATACATTTTTGATTGAGTTTATGTTAAAATAGCCGGTTAGTTTTTTTTTAAGGTGGAAGTGGTACTGAGGTGTCAGGCATATAAACCAAATCAATAACATAATTACTTATAAACCACTTTTTATGTTTTATGTTGACAATCTTGAAATAATCGCTGCCTGTGACTGGGCACAGGCACTACAAATATATCTTAAAACTAAAACTACATCAATAAGGGATTTACTGTTTTAAAGTTATTGAATTCCAGTTATTAAACTATCAATATTTAATTTTTTCATACATTTATTTTTTTAATTGTTATTTATGGTTGCATTTAGACTGAAAGCATGGGACATAATTCGGTTCTGAACAAGTTAATATTGTGTTTCTGAGATTATAATGTTCCGTTTTCTTTTGCAATGAATACATAGTTGCATTGAAGATCCCCCTGGGTAATACACTATAATAAAGCATTGTTTATTTACTACCAGTATAATATGGCAGTGCTTTTGATCATGCATTGTTCACTTTGAAAACATTTTCCACGCATTAAGAGATCTCCAGTCAGAATTTTCATGTTTGAATAAACTGCCACCCCATTCATGAATAATTCATGTTAGCCTGTTCATATCAAATGTGACATCTGATGCTTTTTCTCCCACAGATGTACATCTTATAAATGCATGGCAACCACAGTCGTACCTACACTGGATAGTGGACACATGCACTGAAAAGACCTGGATCTGGAACAGCAAAATGGAGAAGCACACCCTATCTGTGCAATTTAAGTCTGGTGTCAAGCAACAGATAATTGATGAGAGAATGGCGGCGCTCAGATTTTCTTGATACAACTTATTCTTTGCAAGTCACAGCACAGACGGATACGCCATGGATCTCCTTTGGGTTCTGTACTCCATGCTGACTGTATGTATGGCCATCAATATGGAAGCTACCGGGAGCCATAGCATGTTTACCTGTGAGCCTATCACATTAAGGATGTGCCAGGGCCTCGCCTACAATACCACCTTCATGCCCAACCTTCTGAATCACTATGATCAGCAGACTGCTGCTCTCGCCATGGAGGTAAACCACATTACAGACTGAATGCTTAAATTATGTGATCAAATTGCATTACATTAACCTAGGACTAGTTTAATCATCATGCTCTAATAACTGCATGACCTCAACAGCAGTCATATATATATATATATATATATATATATATGTGTGTGTGTGTGTGTGTGTGTGTGTGAGAGAGAGAGAGAGAGAGAGTGAGAGTGTGTGTGAGTGTGTGTTCTTTCCTTTTTTCATTATTTATCAATTTTCAATACAACACAAAAATCAAAACAAACATAAACTACTATTAAACTGTAATTAAACAGTAAGAGGAAAAAACACTTTAAACCAAAGAAGAAAAACAAACCACCACAACAGTAATAGTAATAATAATATATACAAAAATAATATATTAATTATACAGATCTCCAGAGGCAGAATATATAAATATTTTTTTAAACATATGCATTAACAGATCTGGTTTATATGATAGCATTACATTTTAATTTCAGTAAAATAATAGCACATAGATGATCAGTGTAATAACAGTGGATAATAATTTATATAGACTTGTGTCAAAGGGTTCCTGACAGGTCCAAAAAATTGTTCGAGGTCTCTAAGAAAACTTGGGTTTTATTTTTGAGGCTTTGTGTTGAATATTCCATGTGAAGTGTTTATTAGGATACATTTCTTAAAAACATATGAAATCAGACCTGTCCGTATAATTCTTTCCTAAATAGAGAGAGCAGAGAAATAATAAGAGTCATGAAAATAACCAGAGAATACCCTTTACCATGGATCACTTTATTATGCAGTTTTTCTGTATTTTCCCTGCAAGTAGCAATAAATGCAAACCCTAAATGTTTAAATGCATTAGTTTAAAACCTATGTACTAACAGCATCAAAGATTTGCCATTTTCGATTTGACCCAGTTCTTTCTTGTGCCCTGCAGATAATTCAGATCACATTACAGAAATGTTTAAAGGGAAATTAATCTTTAATCTGTCCTACAGGGATGTTTGCTACATTTTTATATCTGAAGTCAGTTTTAACCAGTTTTTTGGTCCTCTTTTGCATGTGGCCATGACGAAATAAGTATCTTATAACTATTTATGTAACAAGGTTGCTTTACAGCGGCTTGCTAGTGTATACCACAGTGGTTGATGTCATGAGCAGTTAATGGTGCTCAGACGCATTGTTTATTTTGATTGTTCTGTAATCTTTGTATCTGCAGCTATAACACCTAGATTGATTCGAGCCGATGGTTAATCCTCTTTTCCCGGGCCGCAGTATTCAGCTGAGCCCTACTGAAAACAGCTGCATTAGCTTGTTACAGCGGCCAGTGTATCTGTTTAACACACACAGCACTGTAAACGTTATCTAAAACCGGCTGTCCTCAGTCACAAGGTTTTAACTTATTCACTCCAGTCCTGCCCTAGTATTATAGAGGGATGGGACAGGAAATTAAAGAGATAAAAAGAAGAAAGAATGGATGGAGTTGGGCCGAGGCAACCCATCTGCTCATCCTCTTGTACATTTGTGTGGAAATGTAGAGTTACATAACCTTTTGCACTGTAACCAGCACAAACACACACATAACGTGATGATACTTTTTAAACCCACTACTGCACAAAGGATTACAAGATCTGTGTAGAAATATATTCAAATGCATTTGAACGATAATCACAATTCACATGTAACACTCTGCAAATGTATTTTTTCAAGCATTGTCTATACAAAAAAATATTTTAATATTTATTTTCTAATATATTTTTATATACATTTAAAAAATAGTTATATTTGTAATTACTTATAATTATTTGTTTGTTTGTTTGTTTTACATATTGTTATTTTTATTTTATAATTATTTAATAATACATTTGGATTGCAAGAATGAAAGGTTAACATACATTTGGATTGCAAGAATGAAAGGATTTTGTTCTTTAAATGTACTTAATAGGTCAGAACCTTTTGGCATGATTTCTGCATTTGAGGATAAATTAACAGAAAAAGAAAAGCCAAATGAAAATTTAAATGTGATTTTATTGATAAATAGGTTTTACTATTTTACAAACAACTGACATCAATGACTAGAAGGTGACAGTTTAAGCAGCAATTAGTCTACTCAGGAAAACCAGACTAAATCTTTCATGTCATCAGTTCTAAACCGTTTATTTCTTTCTGGCATCATGAGGGACACATGAACCGTCCTTGCTTTCAGATTCAAAATCATTGTCAGACAGTGGCAGCATCTTGCTCTGAACTCTGGGTAACCTCATTTGTGAAGGGGACAGTTGCCTACAGGGATGGTTTCTGGGATTGTTGTGGTTGCATGCAGTAATAGGAAGGTTCCGGGAGCATTTGAACTGAGCTTGCAA